CTTTTGTCTTTTTGTTTTTTTTTTGTTTTTTTTTTGCAGTTGTCAAAACCACCGTACTGTTAGCCGACATGAACGACTTTGTAAATGTTAATGATGTTTACAAGCAGTGTAAGTATATTATCTTTAACAAACAGTAGAGTCTAGGCTTGCTCCTACTAAAGATTAGACCTGTAAAACTAAGCATAGCTCTCGATTCCAGTATATAAAAAATTACCACTAGGTGTCAGTATATCCCAAAAAATGCATCGCTCAGGCGGATTTATTGTTTTCTAGCTTAGTTTTTATCCTTTGGTTTAATCAAATCCTTGAAAACAAGAGAATAAATTTGCCAAAAAGTACTCTAAATTAGCAAAGTATGTTCCTAAGCAGGTAATGTGTGTGAGAGCACTACTGTAAAGCAGTGTAGCCTTAAGAGAAGACGAGCACAGAGGCTGTTGAAGTGTACCGAGCCACTTAGCTGAGTGAAATCTGAGCTGCTCCTGTAGGTGGATTAAACTTCATCTAAATACCGGCCAACGTTTTACCTGGCTCTGCCTAAAGATGACAGTAAAGTCTCCCCTTCAGATCTCATTGTCATGTAAAGAGGAAAATCACACATTGCAAAAGTATTTGTACCACTTGAACATTTCCACACATTGACACATTACAACCACAAACTTCTTTGTCTTTTATTGGTATTGTTTGCTTTCGAATTCACAGAAATCAGGTGAAAGAAAATATCTGGTTATATAAAAAGGCAAAAATGAAGTTTTTTTTTATCTGCCTGCAACAAGGAAAATTGACATTGAACATCACACTGAACACGACACAGTAACAACATCATCATGCTGTGGAGATGCTGATTGGGGTTCAAAGAGTTTCACCTTTCAGCAGAATGACAATGCAGCCAGAGCTACGATGGAATGGCTTAGATCAAAGCATAAGTATGTTCTAGTCAAAGTCCATACCTAAATCCACTGAAGAGAATGTAACAAGACTTGAAATCTTACATAGAAGTTCTACAGAAGATTGATTCTGTGCTATTTTGTAATATTTATTCGTAGAGTTGTGGAATACAACTCTACTTTCCTTCCACCTCACATCTAATTATTGATGGTCTGTAATATAAAATGTTAATAAAATACATTGATGTTTGTGGCTGTTTTGTGTCAAAATGTTAAGTTCAAGTGGTTTAAATACTTTTGAAAGGCACAGTATCAGCATAAAAATCAAAGTACTGGTTCTTGGGGAAAATCCTTCAAAATACAAATCCTTGTGTAAATACTGAAAAGCATTTTTAAGAAAAGAATAAGTATAAGCATATTTGGCTCCCTCTTTAAATAAATCTTCCTGCTCTTTGTGTGTTTGATTTAAAAGACCGACAATACACTGTGGTGTGCTTAAGACACACTTTTTTTTTAATTGGTCTGCGATAGAAAATTAGTCATATTTTTATGAAAACCAGATAGAAATCACAGTTGCTAGGGTTTTATGGTGTTTTGTTTTGTTTTTTTTCTTTGGTGACACAAGCATAAAACTTTCATCAAAGTAAACAATCGAACCTATTATGACTACGTCTATGTGAGCCCTAACTGAGTTTCCCTCTGTAGTTTTCAGTACCAACTTCCCAGCCCGAGCCGCCTATCAGGTAGCTGCACTTCCCAGAGTGAGTACTCACCACAGACTATCGCTGATTTGTGCTAATTTCAAACTAAGATCTGTCTGAAAGCCAATTGCGCTGCGTGTCTGCAGGGTGGACTGGTGGAGATTGAAGCAGTTGCTGTTTTGGGCCCTCTGAATGATACTTCTTAAAAAACGCATCAATGAAACAATAAAAACAACACAGTAGCAGTTTGTGATGTTTTGGAACCCAGGAAAGAGCTGATCAAATAAACCCTTTGTTCAGAACCTTCAACATTTATTGGTTCCTCCTGGTAATGATGTATAAAAGGCCTTGAAATGAATGAATATTTTATTTCATTTAACATCAGTAGAAACTTGCCACTAATGACATCTGGAGACATCACATTGTCTCCAGACACTGTAACTTAACATCCTCCTCAATGTTCCTGGTGGCATCATAAACTGAGGCCCTTTCATGGTCTTGTTTGTTTGTCCCAGTGTTAATCTATTGTATGTTTGTAGGTATGGAGGCAGGTAGCTAGGTAACTGGGTATCTTGCTATCTAGCTATCTTTTGTTATCTTCCCCGTTTTGAAGAGAGGCAAAGAGAATTAGGTCTCTGAGTCACTTAATACCATGTTCAACTTAAAACAGTAAGGTGGGACTTAAAAAAATTCACTTACATTTATTCCTAAGGATTTATTTTAATTTTTATTTTTTTGGTGGGGATAAGGGAGAATTTTTGTGTTAATACAATTAAAACAATGGACTTCCATACTAAAAGTTAGGTTATCCTTAAATTGTGACTAATATTTCAGCCGTTTTACACCAGAGGTTCCAGTGGATGTACAGGGTGTTGTGTGTTAGTCTAGTAAAAGGCCAGTAAGTGATTTGTTTCTGTTTTCATGATGTCACTGCCTTACAGTCTAGCATCACCCAAGCTTGAAGCACTTTCACCTCATTAACATTGATGAGACGTCGTGTTTAGAGACAACACTGGATCTTCAGTTCCTATGGATCATCTTTCACTTACAATAGTTGTTAAGCATCTAACCTTGTCTGTGTGGCTTGAATTTCACCACCGCCCTCTGTTGTCATCAGTTTTACCCATGACATAATTTATATCTTCATTCATTATTGATGTTCACATATAAGTCAGAAATAAACGCTCCTTGACTCTTCCATGTCAGGAACTGTTTTTAAAATATATTTACAATTACTTGTGATTGTGTTTGTGTACGTTGTGTTCTTATTCTCCACCAGCAGATGTGTGTCAATGGCCTCAGCTGACAATCCAGGTGTGTGGCTCATAATAAGACAGCAGGACCACAAAAAGTTTATTTTCTTCTTATTATTAGATTTAAACATATCCTGTCCAGCAGTGTGGCATTCGGAGTTGTTGTCTGAGGGCCAAGGAGACGTCCAACAACTTTAATTTCACAAGCAGAGCATTATGTCTTTCGCTAAATGTAATGGATACAGAGATGGAAGAGAAAATGGGAAAAGAAAAGAGGAAAATGTTTAAAGGAAAAATAGAAAGAGGAATGGATTGCATACAACACCATAGAAATCTACTTCTACTCCTGCAGAAGGAGAGCAAAAAAGAGAACCAAGAAACCATAGCAACAAACAATATATGAATATATAAAAACATCACCAAAAAAGTTTATTTTCCTGTGTTTACACTACTACATGCTACCTTTGTCTGTGGATCTTGGACATCTTCATAATTGATTAATCAAAATCTGAGTCAAATATAAAAGTGATAAGGCACCAAATATGATTCCATTACTTTATCAAATTTTAAAAGTTTTGTCTTTCTGGTTGTTTAGTCTACACGGAGTATTAGTTGTCTATAAATTTTAAAGCAACACGTTTTAAGAACAAAGTTCTAGCTATTGTGTTAAACTTCCCAAGAACAAAGAAATCACATGAAGTCTGTCCCACACCAGCACAGCCACTTCATATTTCACCAAAGAAGATCTGCCCAGAGAACGCGTCAGGAACAAGCTGCAAACTGAGGCTGTGAGAACAGATTGACGTCATCTTGTTCTTACAGCAGTGGGAGAGAGAACAGATTTCTTTGTTCTTGCAAAGTATGTATTGGATGTAGGTCAGAACTTCCATTTTGGTCACATCTAAAGGTGAACAACTTCTTCCTTCTTCAGAGTTACCTGAGGCTTCCCACTGTCTCTCTGGTTAATGCTCTCCATGCTTGCTGTGTCAGTTCAGGTAGATGGACACGACTTGGTAGGTTTGGAGCTGTGCAATGTTCTTTCTGTTTTTGAATGTTGGGTAAATGGCACGCTACAAGAAAGCTTCAGATATTGTTTTATAACGTGTCTGCTTTGACCTACATGATGCTGTTTGTTTACCCATGTTCTCTAACAAACCCCTCTGGCCTTCACAAAGAGCTGCATTCATAATGAGGCTGAACTACATTTTCCTAACTACAACTACTTTTACTTTTTTTTTTTTTTACCACTTATAACAATGGAGTATTAAACTAATACTAATAACATAAAAAAATTACGAGAATAAAGTCAAAATAATATGAGAAACAAGTCATAATATTTCAAGAATAAAGTTGCATTATTGTGAGAATAAAGTCATAATATTTCAACTTCTATTCTGGTAATAATCTGACTGTATTTTGGTAATAATTTGACTTTATTCTCAAAATATTCTGACTTTATTCTCATACTATTTCAGCTTTAATCTGATAATATTCTGACTTTATTTTCATATTATTTCCACTTTATTTTGGAAATACAACTGTAATACTATGACTTTATTGCATTAGTGCTTCTTTATTCTCATGTGTTTTTCTTTTAATATTGTGACTTTATTCTGCTAATATAACTTTATTTTCGCAATTTTTTTTGTTTCATTGTTTCTTAGTAAGGCCCTAATACTCTGTTGTATTTCACTTTTACATTTACTTTTGCTTTACTATTTCTTTTGCTATTTTTTTACTATTTTGCCGCTACCTTTTACTAAAATAAATTTTAATACACTGTAAAAATGTCTCTAATTTACAGTGAAAGAAATACCACAGCTGCCAGTATTTTACTGTAAATAAGAGATTTTCTTACAGTGTAGTATTCAGTGACTTCTGAAGGTTGCAACTGAATATGCCACACAATTTTTTTGCTTTGTTTCGCTTTTTCAAGTCTTGGAAACTATGTAGCGTTTTCCTTCTGCTTCACTATCCTGGCCTTCTAGGTATTTATCTGCTACACAGAATCACCATGAATATACATTTTAATATTACAAATTTTTAAAAAGTTCTGCAACGCACTGTAACACTGCATCTGCTTCTCATGGTAGTGCAGAGTTACACCTGTGGTATCTGCTGTTGAAAACATAGATTAAACTCCAGCAATAAAAAGCACGCTCTTTAGTAAGAGAAACTTTATTCTGTACACTAACCGGTTAACAGAATCCTAGACAAAAAAAAAAAAAAAAAAAACAGAAGCAGCCGTTTCCAAGGAAAAAAATTAAACAACCAAACAGCAACAGCTAACAGCCACACTGGAGCTGAACAAGGCGGCTTGAGAATAAAACATGTCAGCAGTCAGTCATCTTCATCCTCAACCTGCAGATGAAGAAAGTTCTCTGCTACAATGTTTCCATCTGAGCTGTGCACAGTGTTATTTAAAACATGCCGTTACTATTAATACAACTTGCTACGTGTAAACATGCTTCATGATTTATTTACGCCAAAATCTCAAAGTTTGGCGTGGAAAAACAGAATCTCCAAGGATTTGTTTTGTTAGTGTTGAGGCAAAGCATGGGCCGGTTAGTGGAACCAACATTATACCGACCAAGATCTTCTCTAGCATAGCATTGCCCCTCTCTTGTCTTTTTTCCTGCTCACTGCAGGTCAGCTGGCTCCAAGAATTTCCAGACACTCTTGCCTTTTCTTGTAAGAGACACAAATTAGAATGCTTAGAAGTTCTGATCCTAAAAGACTTAAAGGAACTCCATCCATCAATCCTATCAAGATGTTTTGATAGGATTGAGCGGTAGGTGTGTTAATCAGCCAAACCAGAAAAATTAACCAGATAACATCAGATTGCGTTAATCTACAAAGAGCAAAAGATAGCACATAATGTGAAAATTGTTAATGTAGCCGCAGGAATAACCTTTTAGTATTTCTGTTAAAAATCCAAGCAATTAGATCACATACATTTTTGCTTAGCATCTTGTGCTAGTAGCATGACACCAGTTACTTTTCCATTAACCTTAAAATTGGGCAATAAATTAATTTGCTTAATGGGAAAACCAATTTTGAAAAAAAAACTCGATAAGTTTTTCCTCTAGAATGAGGCGCTTTATCAAAAGTAGTGTATTTTGCAAAACTGCAAAGGAAGTACTTTTTGTTGCATCACACGAATGAGCAACAACCAGATGTTGCTACTGGCAGAAAAGACAAAAAAGACGACAGGAAGTGGTCGGATGATGGTGGCGCGGCATGATTTTTTATTAACATTACTGCGTAAACAACCTTATTGACATTTGATTTTAATTGTGTTTCTTATTTAATGGAACCACTGCGATTGCAAAATAGTGTTGTTGATTTTTTTTTTTTTTTTACATATCTACAAACATTTGCGCACATTTCTAATGAAAATGCAGCTGCTGTCAAAGCACCAACCCATACCTAGTTGCAGACCCTGCTTGGTGAGACAGTTCTGTTCCTCCGCCTCTTTGAGCTTTGTGCATTTGTTTTTTATTCACAGTGAAATTTGGCTTGTTTCCCTCAGAAAGCTGTAACAAAGGATGTGCTGCCAGCATCCTTCGTGCTTTTTAAATACTTCCAGCCCACAGTTGCCTTCCTCATTACCAAGAAATCCTGTGTATTGCACCCTGACACACCTCGCCACCTAAGTGTTTTTGTTGCATATTTTAGTGTCTGAGAAAATGTGTGGCTCCAGGCACTTTGTGGTCCCAGTAGAAAAACTCATCCTCTTCCCTGCGGCAAATGTTTAAATACAAACATGGAGGAAATCCTTATTTATCCTGAATGAAAACTTATTAAGGCAGATTCAATAGTCATAAATGTATTGTGCAGTTAGGTGTTGATGAGACAAAAATAGAAGTTAGACTTTTTTTGGTTTTTCTTCACTGTTTTTTCCTCCTCTGGTCTTCATGTGTCTCTTTGTGGCTTCGTTACTCGGTGAATCTCTATCTGTGGAATAAACAGAACCGAAGTAAAATAGTACAGCATAAAGAGTTAATTTACACCAGAGGTTCCCAAACTGTGGGGCGCGCTCCCTTGGGGGAGCGCCGTGCTATTGCAGGGGGGGCGCCGTGCCATTGCATTGGGGCGCGGGAAGCCGTCTGGGTGAAAAAAAAAAAAAACATGAACGCTGTATGCGCTGGGTTTTTTCCTTAGAATGGCCAACTCTGGTATTCCTCTGTCAATTTGATACAGTAGGCGCTTCCACACTTCCCATATCTGTGTCCTCTGTCACTTTTATCAGCAGTTAAAACTGTTTAATCCGTTGTTAACATGTCGTAACCTGTTTTTCCGAGCTGCCTTTAAACGCAATACAAGCGCTACGACGCTCGCGCTGGGTTTAGACCTGTGCAGCAGTGAAGGAGACCTGCTGCTGCTGTACAGAGCTACACAGGTGTGTTAGGATCATGGCAGCAAACCAGCAAAACGCAAAGAACTTTTCACAGTTTTTTCCCCCAAAACTAACCGACTGTTGAGTAAAGCTGTTGGATGCAGGTAAAGTTAGCTAAAAGATGCTAATATCAATACAGCTCCTTAAGTTTGTTAACAAATAGCTTGTAGGCTACTGGTGTTGTTGTCTATGTTCAGCTACGATTCATTTTGCCCCCCAAAAAGTTGGCCATATGTTTTCTAGTTGTTGCTGGAAAACAGGGAGTCTCCAAGAATCCACCTCCCACCCCCTTTGCTCACACACATCGTTCAGCCAGACAGCTACTGGTAAGCCATAGGGGGGGGTGG